CGCGAAGAGTAGTAACGCGTTATGAGGCCCAAGAATCCTATTTATAGTGATGACGTGGAATACCAAATGTCACCTCGGGCAACCATAGAGTTTCTCTCCTCGACGCACAGCTCCCCTAGGTAATAATGACCCTACCCTCATAGGGTGGCAGCACAGTTCCCAAAAGATACCGCGCGTGCTCGACAGACGCGCGCCATTGAGGAATCCCCGAGCATTCCCCGCGAAGGACTTGTCTCCTAGCACGATACAGGGAAGCCCTCGAGGAGCTGCACCTCTAACCCGGGCACGAGGCCCCGAAACGGAAGCAACCTAAGATCAAGCCATGGCTCCTAACCCAAGGAACCACGACTTGGGGGGCTCCTGTTCTGGACTGGGCCCGACTGGCCCAATAGCATTGATAAGGCCCAAACCAAACAGACTCGCTGGGGGCCACGCCGACCAAAGGGTCACAGTCGTGCCCGACATGCTCCCTGAGGCTACTTGCTCGACCTCTTGTTGTCCAGCTCGACCTCTTGCTGCCCAACTCGACCTCCTACTGTCCAGCTCGACCTCACCTCGAGCACCCCTTCTAGGGCAGACTCAGTCCACTGCATTCTCAACGAGACTCCGAAAAGACCGCGTCTCTGTCCGCCCGCACTTCACGCAGAACATCCAGGGAGGGGACCACGTGCGGGTCCCTACTACGCACGTAGAACCTGGCAGTTCCTCCATTGGGCCAAACCTGCCCGACCCAATGAAGGAACCTTGGCCCAGCGCTGGGGGCTATAAATACCCTATGTTTCCAGAGGGTCAGGTATTCATCATTATACCCATACTTACTATTGCCTGCTCGTGCTCTTACTTACTTCAGCATCAGAGTGTCTTGCAGGTACCCCCCCCCCCACCTCGTTCAAAACTTTCAGCTCGGAGCCAGCCGTGACGGTCCAAGTCTGATCAGGTCAGATCATTTATCATAATCAATCTAACTTTAATTGTTTGATTTGATAGAATAAAATTAATTTTTTGAAAAACAAAAGACACCTTCTACTAAAAAGCACAAACATATCTAACTTGGTGTTGCAAATAGAAAATTTTGTTGTACAGTCTACAAAGCTAATTCGGTTAAGATTTTTCCTTAGTTTAGAACTTGAATATTGCATTTGAAATAATATAATTAAGAATTTTATTATTATATTACTTTGAACTTAATTTTCCAATCCTCCTAATCTCTTTAGGAAGGTGTAGAGTCCGGGTCTTATCTCTCTCTTTTTGTTCTTTATTTTGAAGACCCATTAAATCAAAAGGAAATGTTATATGAAATACCAAAAATATGATGTGTGTATATTACTTTTACTAATCTAAAGAGAATGGTCTAGTTGTAAACACATAAAATACAATACAGAGTTTACTGAAAAATAATATGAAGTAGCATATACAAATAACAGCATCCAAACATATATTTTAGCTGCAAATTACAACACAGTAGGAGCAATTACATACAAAATTTGGGAATCAGCCCACCAGCCATGACACTGCCTCTATTGAGAATCTATATAGTTCAGTTATTAACTTTTTGCTATCTGCAAATCTCAATACAAAATTCATCAGTTGTCACGTCGGGCTAAATGCACCGAGCAGCAGCATCCAATACCTCTCTTTCAATCTATGAAACAATTTGTGAAATGAGAGTCTAAAACGAATAAAAGTTATCATATAATGCATTAAAATTACAACAGAAATCAGTCAAACATTACAACAAAAAACAATGCATACTTTCGCACGCAAAATAAAATTTACAGAGCAGGTATGTATGCTTCTCCTCATCAATTAACTAATAATTAGTGTTGTCAAATAATGACTATAGACGCACTAATGTTCCACAATACACTAACAAACCCAATTCATTTAGCTATCCCAAGCAATCGTGTATTACATAATCTCTTAAGACCTTCCAAAATGCAGTTATGCACCGACAAGAAACTCCAACGATCCATACACAATACATGTATTCAAACATGAGATGATATATAAATAAAATTGCAGTTTGTTATAGAAGGAAAGATAATATCAAAAGTAAGAATATAGTTTGTTAGTTTAATTGACCTGAAAGTTGACAATTAAATGAAATAGTCCTAGAACCACTTGCATCTGCACCACCAGATGCATCCATGTCAAATTTTGAACCCTAAACTAAACATGATCTACATACTGGAATAGAACCTCAAGTATAAGATGTTGTAGCATATTATCAGAGCCAACATCCTTCAGATATCAGTGCTGATACTAAAACTGCAGATGAAAGTTCTCAAGCGGAAGTGGAAATGGGAATAGCAAACTCGACAAAAGATAAAAATCTCAAGTCTATTGTGAGCATTGAAATGAAAGACAACTTTAAAAACATCATCCCTATGCAAGTCAAAAGAAATTAACCAAATTTCAATTAAAAAAGTAAAATTCATTGTTAATACATTTGTGTAAGTATGTGTATGAGAAATTCATTGTTAACCAAATAATTGTAGAAAGTTGAAACACTCTATAGAAAAAGGCTTAATGAAATCTTTGGTATAGATAAGAATGCAAATATATTTAGTAGTAGAAACTAAACCTTGAAAATAGAAAGAATCTAAAATCCCGTCTTCTTTTATTTCCCGAGCAAGATAGTCCTTCACAAATGCTTCCACCATCACCGTCAAATTCTCTGTCACCAACACCTTCCATTAAACCTCATCAATTAAACCTCCACTTCAACAATGACTAAGCATACCAAATTGCCAATTAGTCCTCTTCATTATGAAATCCAATTGAAGGAATGACATCAAACAAATTTTCCATTGCTTTTGCTTATAGAACCAACTTCATTGAAGGAAAAGCCTTAAAAGAATCAACTTCATTAGTGTGAAAGATTAGCATAATATTTGATTTTTCAAATGTCAAAAATAAATATTTAGCTTCGCAACAATAAAAAATAATGTGAACCGAAAATAGATTTAAACCTCACTCTCGTAACTTTCAAGCCACAAAGCCAATGTAACCAACATTATACCACCTCCATCTAACTTTCAGATCTACAACTCCATTGAAACCCACATAAACCGTACCACCAAATTTCTAGCATCACCAACGACCATCTCCATTTTCACTTCAATTTCCACCTTTGTTGCAGACCTTCAAACCAACCTCCAGCTTGCACCACCGTATTCACGTTCAACAATCAACCAGATCTATAAATTTCACTCCTCTCTTCTACTCACCATCTTCATCTTCTTCAAACAAATCGAAGAGGAATGAAGAAGTTGTTCTCAGATCCACTGCGTGCGAAGTTGAAGCTTGAAGCGTGGAGAAAAGCATCAGCGAAGAAGAAAGGGAGGGAGGAATCTTGAAGATTGGAGAAAGGATGAATTGAGGTTTGAAGAGATACATGGACAAATATTTATGGTTGGGTAGGGAGGAACCGAAAGTTGAAAGGGTGTGTTTCTCCATTGTTGGAAGTGTGGTGTTGATGGCTGCTATCAATACACTTGCATTGGAATTATAAGTGTTCTCCAATGTAGTCTTCTCCTTTGCAATATAACCACTAATTGTACATAATGTATATTACTGCTGCACTCCAACGTATTTACTAAATGTAATTTGGTTTCTTAAAAAATAAATAAATTATAATTAGTGGTTAGTGATTAAAAAAAATAAAAAATGGTGGAAAAATATATTGTGTTGACAAATCAGCGTCATTAAATGTCAAAATAATATGGTGATAGGATTAATCAAAAAGACTAATTTATCCTTAATAATTATTTTAAAAATTAATTTTAATTAGAGGGCATATATTAGATTTTCAAGTACTTTAAAGTTTATATATTAATAATAAATAATGAGTTAATTTGATTTTAGTGGAAAAAAAATATTATAATGATTAGTATAGTTTAAAATCATGTCTAACTTTCATCCTAATACATTATCTATCCTTTTTTAGTCTCAAAAAATAGACTAAGATGTATTCTCTCTATCTTATATAAGAAGTTTATTTTTAAAGTTTATTGAATAATTAATATATAGATCAGATACATTAATTAATCAATGAGTTTAAGAAGTGAATTTTTTTATATAATATAAAACAGGGGGAGTATTATTGTTTCCCCGTGAAATTTGTAATGAATAACCATAAATTGTGTTTTTAAAATACTACTTTTTTTTAATTAAATTTTTAAAGTATATAAATATTAATAAGTAAATGTTTTTTTTTGTTAAGTAGCTCATAAATTATATAAATTAGTGAAAAGGTAACATGATTATTTTGAACTTAATTTAAAGATTAAATTGATAGATTAGAGATTATTAATTAATTTTATATTATGGAAATTAAATTGAAGAAATAAACAATAGTTTCAAAACTTAATTGATAGTTTATTTATTGTTGAAATAAAAAATTAATATAAATTTTAATAATATTTATTTTTACTTTTAAAATATTTTATTTCAAAATTTCATCATAAACCCCAAATTACATTAAACCGGTCATAATATTATTAGATCTAGTGATATATGTTTGATGGTACATTGGTGAAAAACTTAAAAACTCCTTAACTTAAATACTCCTTCAGCATTGGACACTTATTGAAAGGTATAAGTCATGCATTAACTAAACTAAAAATTGGACACTTTATTTTATAATCCCAACATCATTCTGGAAAAGATTATAATAGTTGAATAAAAGAACAATAGTTCTGTCAATAATTTGGAGATTAAAGAACATTTCTTATTATAGATTTCAACAAAAGAACATTTCTTATTATACCACTATACTAGAAGCATTGAATAACAAAACTGAATTGAAACAAAACACAGCAATATTAATGGACTTGATACTAATTCATAACTATTCCATAACAAGCTACAAAATACTCTCAACAAATTCTAACATATAATCATAGCCATATACACACATGTAGCACTCTATATACTAGCGCCACATGTGATTTTATTCATCTGAAAACTAAACAAAGCAAATCTTTAAGGGCTACAAATTATGCACGATTAGCAAAGAAAAATCCAGATCTGCATCTTGTAACATGAAAAGAAGGTGGTGATGATGAGTTACCATTAGAATTCAATAAAAGACTCAATCGACGACATTTCACGATTGGTGGATAGTAGGCCGTAGTCCTGTGACTTTGAAACTTATACCTGACTAAAAGATCCAAATCAACAGCCAAGTCATTAAAGATCCCTACACGGGACTCTTCGTTATACTCGAAAAGTTGTTTAGGTTTGAGTTTGATCAAACCCTTCCCTTCAAACGCTACATGCAGAAAAGTGGTATTCTTGTGGCCTTGATCAAAAGGTGGCAGATTCACTCTAGCAAACTCATTGTCTTTGTACCATGCAACTGCGGCGAGCTTCCTGTAGTATATTTCAACGTTCTTGTTGGGATTTCTTGATGTGATGTTGGCTTCTAACTTGTAATCCAAAGTGTTGTTGCCAGTGAGGTTGAACATTGTAAGAGAAGCATCAGTTATGTGGAACTTGAGATTAGAGGGAGAAAAAGTGACGACTAGCAGGAAGATGATAGAGACAGAACTTGCAAGCCCAGCAAGTAGGACGAGTACGTCCTTAACTTGCTCACATGAGGGGCAATAAGCGGGAAAACCCTCATTACCGTCCATGATGAGCTCTTCCAAAGCGGTAACACCGTCCCTGGCGCTGTCTTCCAAATTGATACTACTGGCCATGGTGAGTGAGCTGTTACTATGATTTGAATGAAGCCTTGAAATCTTATTACTCTTCCAAATATGAGGGATATATATATATATATATAATAGTTGGTTAGAGTTTGTTATTAGGTAGTTAGTTGGTTAGTTAGTTTAGTTTCTAAAGTTCTATCAAACTCTAGAGGCTGTTACATATTATAAAAATTATAAAAAACTACCTCTATTGATATGATGTACATTTATAGTATTGATGCATGTTCAAGGTATTTGCTAGAATTACATTATTGATTTAAAGAGTATATATCAATAATCGGTTAGCAATGCAGTTGTGAGTTAGTTACTCTATCCAACTAACTTTATGTACTCAATAAACCCGAGTTTCAAAACTGAGATAATCAGGAAAATATTTTACTCATTTTCAGATTCATTTTAAACCTATTATTTCTCTCATATCAGTTTTGTTAAGCATGTAAAGAAAACTCAGTATTCTAAATGTAACTTAACAAGTTTGGTTGTTCAAATTTTACTTCCTATCTTCTATTAGAAAGTGATAATGCGTTTACCTGCCAAAAGCAGGAGAAAACAATTCCTTAGATACACCGGAATTTCGCTATAATGTAGTCATTTAAATTTGAATACATGGGCAGGTGAAAACAAACTGCCATCTTCCCTAACTCATTCCTACAAAAGTGACTTGTAGGGTGAGGATTGTCTCCACTTATAAATAATGGACATCTGAGATTAAACATCTGAGACGTGAAATAAATAGTGGATAGTCTGGTAGCAGAAATTTTATAACATGTGACCCACTTAATCTTAAACGAGACTCTTGATACCATGTTGATATTGAGTACCGAGAAAGCCAGAATGGTGGAAACTCACACAACTATGAAAATAACTCTTTTTTTTTTTTAATTTATTAAAAGACATTTCACTATGGTCATAATTAACAACCGTATTGAAATGTGCCTGGAGTGAAATGGTTCGAATTCCAGCTCCAATGATTTTCCATTTATTGTGATAAAATGAGCTTGATCTTGTATATCACCACAGTTCTTTTAGTCAACCGTGGTATAAAGTGCAATCATTTCATCACGGTTCGTCTTACCAACCGTGGTGAAAGGTGTTACATATTAATTAATATATATATATATATATATATATATATATATATATATATATATATATATATATATATATATATATATATATATATATATATATATATATATATATATATATATATATATATATATATATATATATATATATATATATATATAAGTGAAATTATCTCTTGCTTCAATACATAACATTCGTATCTCTCAAAAGAAAACCCTAATATCTATTTCACTCGACTCTCTCAAAAGAAAATCCTAACATCTATTTCACTCGTCTCTCTCAAAACAAAATCTTAACATCTATGTCACTCACCTCACTTATATAGAACCCCAAACTTATGCAGCGAACTCGTCTTCTTCAAATCTTATGAAATGACTACCTTACATGTTTGTCTTCATAATAATTTATGTTTCAAAATATTTTTATCTATTATTGTTTATGTCTCAATAGCTTGTTTCATAATATTTGAACTTTCTGCTAGTTTTGACTTGTATGTATGGATGGCTGAATGAAAAAATTAACGAGGATGAAGTTAAAGTGAGCACTGCAAACTTATGGATTAACACATGTTTGTCGCTCTCACTTCAGCTTCATCCTCCTTTCCTTTCATTTTAGACACTGTTACGAAAAAGACATTTAACAACAGTTAAAAAATATATATAATCACGCAGGTCCAGGCGTTGTTATGTTGAGTGTTGCTGTAAATGTGTTACCTACAATCACGGTCCTAAGACTGTTGTAGTATACTGAAAAGCGCACGCGATATCACAATAATTAGTTAACTTAATCGTTGTGATAGACCTATGGGTCCCATATTCGATTCTCAGTATCGATATTTTGGAACATAAATTACAATTCTTCATGGTTACTATAGATAATCTTTGTGGAAAATACCCATGATTTATTATATTATACGTAGATTACTTGTTTTTTCATACACCTCATTAAAGAAATACAACCATTCAAATTAATGAAGAAGTATATAATCTAAAAATTAAACTATTCTTGAAAACCAACTTAAACCAACCATTATTTTCTAAATTGCATGTCTCTCATCATTTATTTCCTACTCTTTAACACATAAAAGGTGGTTCAATGGTATGATTCCTTCATCGCGTCGATTCCTTTGACTCTAGTTTAATTTGAATAACATCAATTTATTAGCTAACTCTACCTCATCATCGTCGCTTATCATCGTGATTGTTATGATGACTTATCATCATAACAATCATGATAATAAGTGACAACGATGAGGTAGAATTAGCCAATAAATTGATGTTATTCAAATTAAACTACAATAGAAGATATAGATGTAATGAATGAATCAGGTCATTGAACCATATTCTATATGTTAATGAGCATGAAATGAACGATGAGACACATACATTTTGGAAAACATCAATTGATATAGGTTGGTTTTCAAATACATCTTAATTTTCAGATTATAAGTTTCTATGTCAATTTAAACGAGTATATTTTCATTAAAAGGTTAATGTAACAAACAATCTATCTAGCATATAATAAACTAAACTTCATCTACTGTAAACCTGTATAAGAATTTAAAAAACAAAACATTACTAAGTCACAAGAAGCCTCTTTCTTGTGACTTAGCAATGTTTTGTTCTTATTTTGAAAACATTTGTCAACAACAACAACATAACAAATACATGTGTTGTACCCCAAAATTTTCTCTCTCATTTCTCAAGAATTTTCTCACAAGATCTTCCATGACTCAAGTTTGCAGCACTGATACATCAATTTAGGTTTGGAATTGGCACAAGGACAAAATGGTCAAAATGCACACTAAAGAGTCAAACTTTGACTTTTAGATCAAAATAAAATTTCAAAAATCACATTTCATCAAGACATGTTAGAATATGAATTTGATTCATCAAGAAAATCAAAAGTCAAAATTACTTTGGAAAACTCAAAGTTCTAAACACTTAGAAATTTTTCTATGTGTTAAGAAAATATGATAAGTTCAGAACTTTTTGCTAGATTTTCATCATGATGCAAGTTGATTCAAGAAGAACTTTTGACGCAAGAGTTGTAGATCTCAATAAGATCTAAAATATTACATAACAAAACTCCTCCTAGAAATGCTGGGATTTCAAGTTATAAACCCTTGAAGACACGTCCATGAAACTAAAACACTTAGTAAATTCTGAACATTTCCAAGTCAGAATTTGATTATAACTTCTGGGCTTGTTTTCACGTAGGTGCAATAAGAGTTTGCAAAGATGATTCAAAGAGGGGTTACAAAGCATGTTGCAAGCTTTCTGAAAAGTCTGAGAACTCCTTGTGATCATGCTGGAGCAGAGAGATTCAAAGATCAGAAGTTGGATATTTGTTCTTAATCTAAATTACGTTTATGCTGAACTTCTGATCCAATTTCAAGCTAGGCTGCATAATCTCATGTTACACGCCTTCTTTCTTGTTAAATTTCATCATCATTTAATGTTCACACCAACTTTTGAGTCTTTATCCTAGTGTTTAAGTCTTTATCCAAAAGATCTTCCCACGTGTGGCATAAAAGTACCACTGTTGTCCTTGAAAAACAAACTTTTGTACAAAGTTCATTTTGAGCCCATACTTTACTTTGTTTCTGAGTGTACTTCCCCACAAATCATGCATACAGACTCATATTAGGCGTGTTTAAAGCTACTAACCATCCTACCTTGCCTTGAAACCATACTTGTATAAACTTGCTTCAAAAACAAGTCAACAATCCATAATACATGATGGTTGTACTCCTGACTTCTCCAAGCTTCTAAATCATTTGCCTATAAATTAAACTTCATTTGCAAACTGAAAGAGGATTGGAAAAAAGCTCTAAAACCTTGCTGAAAATTCCCAAGAACCTGAAACTGCAACACAAATACAAAAACCTGCTAGTTTCTAATTTTTACATCCAAACTCTAATTTTCCTTGTGCGTTTCTTGGCCAAATCATCCATACAGTTTCTGGTATACACGTAGAAGCTTTCCCAATTTCTGTTTTCAAACTGTAGTACAGTCTTCACCACTCCCCATTTAAAAAAATCAGAACTTTGCATCTTGACTGCTCCAGAGTATTTCAACCATCCATAACTCAAGTTAAGGTTTGCCTTAGCTTTCTGAGAACTTGAGGAAGCTGACCAGAACATCACAGCAGTCTGAACCAGGCTTTAACTCACAGAACAATTTGTTGTACCCCAAAATTTTCCCTCCCATTTTTCATAGAAGACACAACCCTAGGGTTTCTCAAATATTCAAGTTGGCTTAGGAATCGATCAGACAGATTTTCTTCTGTGGCAGTAAACCAGCAATTAGAGTTTTTCTTGCAATTCTCAAAAGAAATGAATTCTCAAAGATCCAATTGGCTTTCACAGGTTTTCATGCTTTCTCAAGTTTACTGAAAAGACAGTGTTTGTTCTCAAGGTTAACCAGATGATTTGCGTCTTCTAAAACATTTGCTTGTTTAGGAAATGGAATAGACAGCGCGTGTTTGTTTGGAATGCAGTTGCAAGATTACAGAATTATTGGAATTTAAATTATCAGGTTGGAGCATTTTGTTTCAATTATCTTGATTGGGAATCTTTAAGAATCAGTTAAGATGCGAAGAGAAAATTACAAGTTCTTAACAGTAAAGGATTTCAATTAACACCAGAATGTTTCATAAGACTTTCTCCAAATTTTCAAACGTTGTTACAAAATAATTTATTATTTAAATACTTTAGGTTTTACAACTTATCGTATTTGAAAATAAATTAGTACAACTATTGGTTACAATACAAGAATGTTTCTCTCTAAATTATAAAGAAAAGAAAATGAATTTATGCCTAAGGTTGACTG